GACTAGCTGAGAAGTTGGCCAGGTGAGGTTAGCTGTGGCTTCTTCTGTCTCTTTGATCTTCCAGCTTCACCCCAATAACTGGCCACAGGTTTGATTTTATTATTAAGAACTTTTAAGATTCCTGCTACATGACACCCTTTGGAGGAAGAAGGGGTACCCTAGGAGGATGGGATAGGGATGGTGTTGTGGAACACTGGGAATCCAAGGCTGAGGAATAGTCAGCTTGGAGAGAGGGGCTATGGATCCAGACTGGAAAGGAATCTTAGAAAGCATTGTATAGGTGTGGTGACTGGTTCGATTCATTTTATGTGCTACTGTAACGGAATACCTGAGTTGGGAAACTTATAACAAAGACATTTTCCTTGTTCTTCATATTATTCTATTATGTATTTATTTATATGCGCATGTGCAGATTTGCATGCATGATCATATATTGTGACTGTACATCTATGCACACTGTATGAAAGCCAGATACCTCAGGTATCCTTCCAGGAGGCATCCATCTTGGTTTTTTTTGAGACAAAGTCTCTCACTGAGACCTCTGGCTTGCTGCTTTGACTAGGGTGGCTGACTGTGAGCCACAGGGATCTCCCCGGCTGTGTCTCCCCAGCTCTGAAGTTACAAACACACACCACCACAATCCACCACGTCGTTTTGAGACAACATCTCACTGTGTACCCAAGGCAGATCTGGAATGTATTACATAGACCGATACCTTGAACTCACAGAGGTTTGCCTGCCTCTTCCTCCCAAATGCTGCGATGAGAGGTGTGCATCACTGTGCCCAGCCCACATCCAGGTTTTTATGTCAGCACTGGTGATCCACTCAGGTCCCCAGGCTTATGCAGCAAGCATTTTATTGACTGAGCCATTTCCACAGCCCTAGACAAGAATGACATTTGGTGCTTGAGTCTAGCGGCCGGGAAGTCTAAGATTGAGGTTACACACCGTGAGCCTTCATCATTGCCATGTGACCTGGGAGAAAGCATCACATTGGCCAAAGAGGAAAAGCGACGCAACTCAGGAGTCTCAGGTTCTTGAGTCCTCAGTGTTGACAGCATAAGGATAGGGTGTTCCCACTGGCCTTACTTCCCAACATGGCGCTACACAACGAATTAAGTTGCCAGCAAAGGTCTTAGGGGATATGTTTGAGCCACAGCAAGATGCTGCCAAGCTCAGCAGAGTTCTATAGAGCCCACTCACTGGCATTTGCCCTGGACCAGAGGACAGTTCCTTCCCCACCTCTGTGGTCTGCACAGGTTGTTCATGGTTAAATGGGCCTGGAAGTTCTTTGAAAGGGGTTCAGCATCCAGTATCCCAGAATGAGAGGAGGTTTCTGACCTAATGCATCTCCACTAGAAGAGAAGGATCCCAGGAGAAAGGGTGGGGCTCAAAGACCCACGTTCACTAGCAAGCAGGACTACTACCATGGTTAAGCACTGAGTGTCTTCCAAAGGTTTGTAGGTGAAATCTGGATCCTCAGGGAGGTGCTGTTACAGACCTTTAAGATGTATGGTTTGATAGGAACTCCCAAGGTTACTGTGGGTGTGCCCTCAAAGGGGCTCTCTTCTCTCTGTCTCTCTGTCTCTCTGTCTCTGTCTCTCTGTCTCTGTCTCTGTCTCTCTCTCTGTCTCTCTCTCTCTCTCTCTCTCTCTCTCTGTCCCTCCCTCCCTTCCTCCCTCCTTCCCCCTACTCCATGTTATATCCCCATTGCCAGTCTCATAAGGCAACCGGATCTTGGGCCTGAACTTCCAGAACCATGAGCCTAAGCAGATCTATCTGTACTTATTTCATAAGTGTCCCACTCCAGGTGTTTTCTTATAGTGATGTGAGCCTGACAAACACAGCGAAACAGCTGTCCGTCCGTCCGTCTGTCTGTTCTCTATCCCAAGAGGCTCAGGATCAATATGGTTTCGTTGCAGCCCAAACCAGCCTCTGGTCACACACATGGGAAAGAGAAGCAAGAAGATGGACACTCTCCTCGTTCCTAACCCCTCTACTGGCTTTTCCCCTTCCCCCAAACCTGGAAGCCTGGGGCAAGCCACTCCTAGGGTTTTGTGTTCACTCTTGCTCACTCTGTGCATCTCAAGTCGCTAGTCCCTGGGAATGTATTCACTAGGCCCTCTCATCGCCCATGAGCTACGTGGCTAAGGAGCCTGCTCTGGCCTTTCTACAACAGAGGATTCTTGGTGTCATAGGTGAGCAAAATACTTTTTTCTTTTATTTTCCTTTTTTCTTCCTTCCTTTTTCCTTTCTTTTTTCCCCTTTGTTTCTTTGTTTCTTTCTTTTTTCTTTCTTCCTTTTTTAAACAGGATGTTGCCAAGTAGCTCTGGTGGGCCTAGAACTCACTGTGTAGCCCAGGCCACCTACTTCTGCCTCCACAGTGCTGGATTAAAGGTGTATGCCATCATGCCTAGCAACTCTGACCCCTTACCAACAGATTCAAGGGAGGAGAAGGGAACATGGCCCACTCCATCTACCCTTCTCTGTGCCAGAGCTTCTAGAAGAATTCCTTGAAAGCCTGAAGACAGCCTGCTGATGAGCTAAATCTAAGTAATGACCACTGGTTCTGTCAAAACAGTGAGCCAACTGTGCTTTCTGAAGTCACCGTCATTATACATATATGCACACCCTCTTGCAAAACATGAAAAATTCATGCATTGTAAGCACCACACTGGGTAAATGCTGCTAGTTATGAATGACCAAGTCCCACAGGAATGGCCCTTTTGTGATAAATGAACCAGAGAGGGCTGCTGAAAGCCTGTGCCAGAACCAACCTCCAGAGCCAATGACCAGGAAGCTGGGGCAGAGACGGATTTGCAGGGGTTAAAGCTAAGGATTGGATCTGGTGCTTTTGTCTTCAGATTGCCCCCTCTGTGTTCCCTAGATTTGCAACTTAGAGTTTATGTTAAATTTAGGGTGTGTAACAACAATCGCTTGGGTCACCCAGCCAGTGGCTCCTCCATTGTCATGCAGAGGTCACCTCATCCGCCACTTTCGCGTGTCCTCTTACAGATTCTCCAGGTGTGGTTCTGTTTCCTGCAGATTGTCGGGGTGACCCTACACCGTGTCTGACTTGAGAGTGCTCACTCAACCTCAGTGCAACGTGGTCTTGACTTTCACCAACGTGCTCCCATGAGGACTCATTTTATACTTACCCCATTTTTACTACAAGGTACAATATTGAAACATCTGGGTTAGGGATGTAGCTCAGTGATAGAATGCTTGTTTAAGCACACACTAGTCCCTGGGGTCAGGCCCCAGCACTACAAAAGAAAGAAAAGATAGATAGATAGATAGATAGATAGATAGATAGATAGATAGATAGATAGATAGATAGATAGATAGGCAGATAGATAGGCAGATAGATAGACAGACAGAGCTGGTGGTCATGGTGGGTCACATCTGCAATCCCAGCACCCAGGAGGCACTGGGATTGTCATGAGTTCAAGTCCAGAATGAGATTCTGTCTCAAAAAAGAATGAAAAAAAAAAGAAAGGAAAAGGGAAGAAAGAAAAGAAGAAAGATAGAAAAAAAAAGAAAGAAGAAACTTTTCAATTGTTCTCTTGGAACAAAACAAGCTTTTTGGATTTAGATTCCAGTCGCCTCTTAGTGAAATATAAATTCAAAAATCAGAGGATGGGTGGGTGGGTGTAAATTAAGTGATTTTTTTTTTCTAGAAGTGGTCCTAAGAAAGTCAAAAGCTAGAACACTCTGCTGCGTTAGGACACAGGGACTCGGTGTCCCTGTCATTGCCCCAGAGCTGCCCCCTGAGGCTTTCTCTGTGGCATTCTCTGGGCAAGCCCCGCAGTGAGCATGTGCAAACTGCCCCCAACTTCTCCAGTGGCTGTCTGAAAGGAAGCACTTTTAGGACTAATCTTCCTCCTGCCCTAGAAGGGAAGGCACATGGAGATTCAATATAAAGTCATTCATAGACTGGTTTCTGATCTTCACCACGGGCATGGGAGAGAAGCAGCAATTGAGCATTAAGGCACTGTGCACTATAAATGATCAGCTGAGACATTAAAGCTGTGAAAAAAATACAGGAGTATAAACGTCACCCTGAAACAGAGGGACATGTGTGTGAAAAGACCACTCGATTTGAAATATGCACTGCTGTGATTTACTGGACCATGTCAAACATTTTCTATGACCACGGATAACCAGGCTAGCCTTCTTTGTTTCTAATCAGGGAGTCTTGTCTCCAAATGCAAGCCTTCTTCCCCTCCCATCCTCTTTTTTTCTTTTCCTTTTTGGCTCTTTGAATATCATCCACGTAGTCTCTCCCCATTCCCAAAGTGCCTCCCAAACAGCGCTGGGGAAGCGCTCTGGGAAGCCCTTGCCGAGACACTTAGCAGAACTTTGTTCTCCACATGGGCTATCTAGCTTTTCTCGGTGACATCACGGCCTCCCCGACTCTTAACTGGCTGTGAACCGAGTCCAGGCACTGGTGACAGGCTCAGGGCGCTGGCCGTGGTCCTGACCTCAGAGCTCAGGACCGCGGTGCGGAGCGCTCCGAAGGCGGAGACCTTGCCACTCCGAGGAGCCATGTGAGCCCTTCCCCCCTCGACCCCAGGAAAGTCCTCCGGCCTTGACTGCAGCCCACCACTGCGCTCTTTGAGCTGCATCAAAAAAGGGTGGGGCACTGAGCCACAGCTGCAATCGGATGCCACCCGGGAGGATTTAAGAACAGCACAGTGGTCCACCCCAATCGCCACTCGTTGCCTCCAGCCCAGGGATCAGCTGGTCCCTGACGCGGGTTCCCCACCTCCCAGGCACAAGGAGGCGAGGGCAGCCTTTGTGGGCGCTCAGACGCCCACCGGCTAACCCGTGCCTCGCCGCACCCTGCGCGGTGAAGGGGCGGGCAGGGCGCGGTGCGCGTGCAGATGCGGGAGGCAGAGCTCCAAGCGCCGCGTGCCGGTCGCCACGCGGGGATGCTCGGTCCTCCGCGAGATGCCAGGGTTCAGCCCCGCTCTCCGTCCCCACCCCCCCATACCAACCTGATCGTAGATGTTCTGCAGGGCTTCCTTGCCCGAGGCCCGCCGGATCTCCACCTTCCGGCCCGATTCAACAGATGGCTCCCCGCTGGCACGCCGGCTCTGCCGGTGCGGGTCCGGGCCCAAGTGGGCGACATCTCGCTGCTGAGCCACCACCTGCCCTGAGCCCCGGCCCACCGAAAGCGAATCGAAATCGATGGTCTTGTTCTCCGAGGACCCTTCCACCGGGCAGAACATGCCGCAGAATTTCTGCCGGGGCTTGGGACTGCCCGAGCCCAGGTTTTTAAAAAAGGCAGGGACCTCTTCGTCCTCTGCCGCCTTCCCAGATTGCTTTCTCTCGGCCATGGCTCGGGGGGCGCTGGGAAGGATTTTCTCCGTCCGTCCGTCTGTCTGTGGTTCCCTAAGTCTCCCTGGCTGGGTGTGCACTAGCCTCTAGCTGCCGCCGCGGCTGCCGCTCCCTGCCTACCGCAAGGTGCACAGAAAGGATGGAGGGCTGGCGAGCCGGCGACCCACCCCTCGCGGTCCCTCCTCCTGACCCTGCTTTCTCCCTCCCTGCCCACGCCCCCCGGCGCCGCCGCGCCACCTCCGAGCGAGCGGCAAAGTTGGATCTGGGCGGGCGGTCGCTGCGGCAGAGGATGCTAGTTCCCGGCAACGCGGGGCGGGGCGGGGCGGGCTGAACGCGCGATCAGGAGGGAGGG